GTGCTTGCCACGCCACGTCTATTGAGGGCAAAGGGAGCTGGCTGCCTCTTTAGTGCTACGCAGCACTCCACGGAGGTGATGTTCCTCTCCAAGGCCGGCCTCAGATGCTATTTCCTGTTTTATACTTTTTGGAGAATGTTGCAACAATTTTAAGTCACTTTTTTAGTCTTGTCTTAGATTAATTTCTGAGGGTAGATTCTCAATGATGGAATTAATTCATGAACATTTTTATTAAGCAGCTACTATATGTCAGGCTGGGTCAAAAGCTTGGCTGTTTCCGTGACACTTGATACAGTTTGCCATTCTTTCCTTGTATGTGGGAGAAATACTTAACCAGTCAAGTCAGCTCTGAATTGTCTAACCCAACAGACATGTGTTTGGTGAATGTTTAGAAGTAAACAGAAAGCATGTTAGAAAGGTAAGTTTGGAGAAGCAGCAGTGTGTAGCCAAGTGAGATGTGGGTGTGTTTAGAATGATCTGTTGTCAGGTTATTTACCCAACTTGGCCTTCTTTTGAAATGGTAACTGAGTCGTGAAACTGATTAAATCAGAGGACTAGAAACATACACAAAGTTAAACATCCTGATAAATAACCTAGATTTATTTAAATCACCCAGAAGACTTTAAATTGAATTTTGACTGGACCAGGTGTGGGGGCTCACGTCTATAATCCTAACACTCTAAGAGGCCGAGGCCCGTGGATAGCTTGAGCTCACGGGTTCAAGACCAGTCTGAGCAAAGTGTGAGACCCCCATCTCTACTAAAAATAGAAAAACTGAGGCAAGAGGATCGCTTGAGTCCAAGAGTTGGAGGTTGCTATGAACTATGATGCCATGGCACTCTACCCAGGGCAACACCTTGAGATTCTGTCTCAAAAAAACTGAATTTTGATTAAAGCAAAACAATAGTACACAGCTTTATTAATATAGCCAAACTTCTATTTTTGAATATTTATTGAATATGGTATGTTCAAATGCATTGCCTATTCTTGATTATGGGAGAGACAGACATATAAACAGATAGTTGCTACAGCCTGTGGCAGGCGCTGGAAGAGAGTTTGTATGTCAAAAAATAGGAAGGAGCCAAAGTTTCTGTTTACCCAGATTTTTTTTGCTGTAGAGAAGCCTTTCTTTTCCTTTCATGGTTTACTTTTATGTCTTCAGAGAGGAAAAACACTTGTTAAAGAGTATAGTAAATATAAGTAACTTAGTTGGGATGAAAATTCAACGAGTTTTTGACATAACATGTGTAATTTAATGAAGATCCAAAGTTGCATAATTAAAGAACCTTTGACTTACGGATTGTGGTATGGCTGGCTGGTTGAAGAAAAGTCGTGGGTTGATGGTTATCTGAAAAGTAGCTAGTTTCTCCATCAATATAATTTCTAATTATCTTTGGAAGAGAAAATAGAATTATGTGTGCTGTCTTAGCCATAGCAAAAACATATTTGAGCATGTTTTTTTTTTCTGTCATCTAAGTTAAAGAGCAAAAGGGTTGGTCTACCGGCTCTTCTGGAGCACTGTGGAGATCTCTGTGTCCTCAGTGGTAAATTGGGATGTTAATAGCACACCCTTTATAAGGCTGCCAAATCCAGTAGATGCTGTCCTGGCTCATCTTTGTCAACCTCTGAGCAGCTTTTGTTACCCTTGACCCTTCTTTTGTCTTAAAGACTCTTACCATTTAGCTCCTGAGACTGCAAACTCTAGTTCTTCTCTTCTACCCTCTGCTCCTTTTCATTTTCTCTTCTTGGCTCTTGTACTTAATTACTAAATGTTGGGTGCCCAAGAACCTCTAATCTTTCTGTTTATTCCTTTCCAAGGTGATCCATTAGTCGCAAGGTTTTAAGTATCATCTGTATCCTGATGAATCTCCAGATATGACCTGTGCAGCTCAGAAGTCCAGATTCCTGCTTGATTACTTCCTAGCTATTATTCCTTTAATACATCTCTAAGTAGGTCTCTGCATCTGTCCACCAAAACAGTAAGGAAAGGTTCCCTTCCTCTGTAATCTCCATGTTCAGTAAATGACCTCGAACCCATGACTTGTCCATGATGTTTCCCTTTCTTTGCCAAGTCAACAGCAAGCACTATCTCCAGAATGCATATATTTTTAATCCATCTATTTCTGTCTTCCCTACCACTATTGTAGTTCAAACCATCCCTTGCCACACAGCCTTCTAATTTGTCCCTTTCCTGTCTATTCTGTATACAGCTGCTGCAATGATTTTTTTTTTTTAAAAGCAAAACTCAGATCACGTGAGTTCCCTGTGTAAGATCTACTAATGACTTCCCTTTGCACTTAAAATTGAGTCTTTTTCCTATAGCTTACACATCTGAGCTCGGTTTCCATGCCAGCGAAATGGGGGATAACTATAGCTTTAACTAGAATATATCCTTGAGGACATGGACTTTTTTCTTCTTCTTTTTTTTTTTTTTTTTTTTTTTGCAGTTTTTGGCCAGGGCTGGATTCGAACCCACCATCTCCAGTATATGGGGCCAGTGCCCTACTCCTTTAAGCCACAGATGCTGCTCATGGATTTTTTTTATTTTTTTTTGAGACAGAGTCTCACTAGGTCACCCTCAGTAGAGTGCTGTGGTGTCACAGCTCACAGCAATCTCCAACTCCTGGTCTTACGCTACTGTCTTGTGTCAGCCTCCCAAGTAGCTGGGACTACAGGTGCCCGCCACAATGCCCGGCTATTTTTTGGTTGCAGTTGTCATTGTTGTTTAGCAGGCCGGGTGGTGTTGAACCTGCCACCTTCGGTGCATGTGGCCAGTGCCCTCCTCACTGAGTTACGGGCCCCAAGCCGAGGACGTGGATTTTTATCTGCTTTGTTCACTACCATTTTCTCATTGTTTAGAATACTGTGTACATAGAATAGACAATAAATATTTGTTGGGTGAATAAACACATGTAGATTGTATAGAGCCCCCAAAGCCTTTTTTCTTTCCTCTTTGAGAGAAGCGTATTATAGCTCAGTATTTTCCATATTACATAGAAAGGCTGTCAAAGGCTTCTAGTGCCATTGTCTCCTTCATTGCCATTCTCATTGCCATTCTCGGCTTCTCTGCATATTCTCCTCCTACCCTCCTTGTTTTATTCTTTAGACCTGAGGACATTAGGAGAAGTTAGGTTATTAGTCAGTAGGTCAGGAAACAAATTGAAAAGGCACCCTAATAGCAACAGCATTTTATTTGTTTATTTATTTATTTAGGCAGAGTCTTACTTTGTTGCCCTTGGTAGAATGCCATGGTGTCATAGCTCACAGCAACCCTAGACTCTTGGGCTGAAGTGATCTTCTTGCCTCAGCCACCCAAGTAGCTGGCACTACAGGTACCTGCCACAACACCTGGCTACTTTTAGAGATGAGGTCTCACTCTGGCTCAAGCTGGTCTCGAACCTATGAGCTCAGTCAATCCACCTGCCTCGGCCTTCCAAGTGCTAGGATTATAGGCATGAACCACCGCACCCGCCCTAACAACATTTTAAAAATAAGCATTTATTATAGAATCTTGTCATAAATAGACAGGAATAGTAGATAATGTAATGAACCCTCATCTCTCTATCACATAGTTTGAAGAGTTATCGGTTATGGCTGTTGTGGCACATAATTTGATGCTGCCTATGGTAAAGGAATGCCTAGAGCCCTGGCCTCGCCTCGAGAGGTTTCTATCACAACATATCCTACCCTGGGCATCGTGGCCTTCCATTCTGTAAATGAACTTGTTGAGGACAGATAAGGAATATTTTTAAGGGTAACAGAAAGGTTCTGAAATATCTCTCTTGATTCTTTTTTGTGAATATCTAAAATTTTACCCTTAGTTCAACCATAAATTTGCAAATTGTGAATAAGCCTGAGAAGGGAAGGACATGAAGCCATCGCAGTTACTTTTAGCTTAGTAGAAACTGGCTAATTATAAGCATGCTTGACAGGTAAGCAAGCAAGAGCAGGCTTTGATGGAAGGTAGAGAATCAGGGGACTTAATGTGGGGAGGGCCAAATAAAGACAGGAAATGCAGCATTCAAGAGGGCAGGAAGTGCTGCTTTGCTACCGTCCACTTTGCCTCCAGGTGATCCTAGTCTCAAAGCCTGATTCCAGTTGGTGGTGCCCCTCATGCCGATACCTGGGTTCCCGTCAGCTGGCTCCTCAGGACCTTGTGTAAAGCTGTCCAGAAGATGCCTCCAGCTAACTCTGCTGCTTGTTTATTTTTAGGTATCTTGCAATATATTCAGAACTCTCCCTCCTAGTGACAGCAATGAATTTGATCCAGAAGAAGATGAACCTACCCTTGAGGCATCCTGGCCACACTTACAGGTACCTGGAACTGCCATTTGTTAAAACAGAGAGCTCCATTAACTCAGTAGCTGGTTCAGCATGGGAACACCTTTGAAGGCCGTTATTCACCAAGATATCAAATTAGAGTACATTAATGGAAAGCTGGAGAGTGCTTTTTATGTTTTTACTCTTGATAGCAGGGATGCCAAAAGAATAAAATCATAAGTGTCAGTGTGATGCCTTAGTGTGGGTCCCCATGTTGCAGGGACAGGCAGAGTTCTTACTCTTTCATTAGAGCTTCTCGAAGGTCCTGCCCACTGAAGACTCACACAACAGCAGCACTGTTTCCACATTATTATCAGTTGGATGTGATTAGGTCACAGAGTACATATCTCATTTTAGCAGTCAGTACCCTGGGGACTCTGTATGCCTGTCTTCATGATAACCACTAACATGTTCCTTTAAGGACATAGCTATTTCTTTCAGTGTTGTCAGGGAGGGCAGCAGCTGGGAGACAACTTGGGTGAGGGCCAGTTTTCTCTTGCACTGAGAAGGCCATGTTTTCCCGTCATACCTGTGTGCCAAGACAGAGTGGAGTGTCTGCAGCTCCTTGTCCAGCACCGGGCCCGTCTGGACTGTAGTTGGTTACTCAGACTGGTTGTCCTGCAGCTCCTTGTCCAGCACCGGGCCCGTCTGGACTGTAGTTGGTTACTCAGACTGGTTGTCCTGCAGCTCCTTCCTTTCTACTTGCCTTATCTATGTCAACATTTCTCAAAAGAATAGAACAAGGAAAATTGGACATATTGAGCCCAAGGCCATCTTTCCATTCATTGAGTCAGAATGTCTTCAGAGGCTGGGTGACCAGAAAGAAGAAGGCAGGGATTGGGAGACAAGGAACATGACCTTGTGGGTATCTTCACCCCTGAGCAAAGCTGCTGCCTCTCTGAGAAGTGTGTTCACGGTTGCCAGGTGAAGAGCAGAAGACCGTGCAGCAGGGAGATAGAAGGCCTCAAGATGTTCTAGGAGTTAATTTCCCCCCTACTTTAGAATTTTTGGCATAAATCTGCAACAGTGCCTATCCTGCTTTGGCAGCTCAGGGTGTCTACAGATACACCTGGGTGCTTTTTCCCTTGGTTATGCAAAGAGCCTTTGGGGGCTTTGTTTTCTTATCTCTTACTCAGGCACATCATACATGGGTGTATATTCCTGCGTATATTCCTGCTGCCAGTGCCAAGATTGGGTAAATTAGTTAAAACACTATAGGCGATTTACTATCTTAGATGTTTAATTTTTTCTTAAGGTGCTAGACATGTTATCTGCATTCTGAGAAATTTGTAAGATTATATGTGCTTTGCCCAGATTGTGACAAGTTCCAAAAAAGAGTTACTCTTTTGAATGGGCACGTCTTATTTGTAATTCAAGGTCATCAGATTATAGTTTAGTCTGGGAGAAACTTAAAAAAAAAAAAGAAAATCTCCCCAGGAGATTCCCATAACCTATGTTGGAAGAGGCAAAGAGAGAGATGCCTTTACACATTCAACCTACTTTCTTCTCTGTATCCCAAGGAAGAGACAATAGACCGACCCCCTTGCCATTTGTAAGAATTTTTTCAATAGCTTAAATCATGATCACCATAGACAACCTCCCTCTAAATTACAAGAAAGTTTAACTCAATATTTCAGTTAATCCTTACTGTACTTAATGACTCTATAAAATATAGGACCAAATTATTTTCTGAACCTATTGAACTAAATTCTGCACCTTGAAAAACTCTTAGCACTGTTAGTACTGTAGGAAAATTAATCATTAGTTCATCTGAAACCCGAAAACCAAAGTGATGATGACATCTCTGCTCTTTTGGCTGTGAAGTCACAAATTTCATTGCAAAACTGACTCTTTCATCTGTGTTGACATCCTCTTCAAGCCTAAGATCCTTCCGGTCCCTTCTTTAGCTCAGGTCCCTCTTAATGCCACATCCTTTTAAAATTCCCAAGTCAACCTTCATTCCTAGTGAACAGGCACGCTGCTGCCTCCTGCCTGTGGTTCTGTGTAAATCTTTGTACAGGCTCCTGACCTGTCTCAGGAATCCTGTTTCCTTTATATATGCTACTACACAAATGAGTCACCTGTCCATTTGCAGCAAGGGGTGGTTTTAGCACTGTCAGGAGCACACACTGAGTGTGTAAGAAATGGTTTTTGTTTATGTATTTTCTGAAATTAAGTCTGTCTTTTCAGTTAATTACAGTTTTACATTTTACAATTAAGGAATTGTTGTTAATACATTACACTTGAGACTGAAAAACAGGAATGCTAAAGTTTTTTTTTTTTTTTTTTTTGAGACGGAGCCTCAAGCTATCCCCCTGGGTAGAGTGCCATGGCATCATGCTCACAGCAACCTCCAACTCCTGGGCTCAAGCGAGTCTCCTGCCTCAGCCTCCCAAGTAGCTGGGACTACAGGTGCCCACCACAACGCCTGGCCATTTTTTGGTTGCAGCCATCATTGTTGTTTGGCGGGACTGGGCTGGGGATTCGAACCCGGCACCTTAGGTGTATGTGGCTGGCACCTTAGCCGCTTGAGCCACAGGCGCCGAGCCGCTAAAGTCTTTTTATTCAGTTCCTTGGAGAATTCATTTGTGTGACCTTGAGAAGCAATCTATCTTCCCTAGCCCTTTAGAAATCTTTCTCTTTAGAAATTTAGGAGAGATTTTTCATTATGAGGTAATATGTTTCTGTTAAGTGCAGAGAACATTTATTTATACTTACTAATAAATGTCTGAAGTGTTTCCACCAAACTGTTTTAAGCCACAACTGCTTTCAAGGGACCAGAGACACAGGAAAACTCTGGCAGGCCTGCTAGAAAGCTCTGCCACCCTGCATGCCTGGAAGATGAGAATCTCCCCATTTTGTGGGCATTAAAAGAGGGATAAAACCCACTTTGAATAAGGCTGACCTTCTGTTTGTAAAACTGAGAGTTGGAAGATGCGTATATTGATAAAAGAACAATTCTATGAGGTGTTAGGACTCAAGCGTTATTTTGACCAGAAAAACCATATGTCAAACACTCAGCAATACCCATCATTGGGGAAGAAATTTTTCTGACTTTGGAGTTTCAGAGAGAAAAACATAGTTTTATAAAGAAGTAAAATGCTAATGTGAATACCAAGTTTAAGTTTTAAGTAGAGTCAGAAGTCACAAGGTCTGATATATAGGAAGCACTTATGTCAGTGGTATCTATGGACAGGTAAGGGAAGCCCTGGACCTGATTTTCAGTGGACTGCAAAGTTAAAGCTACTTTAATGCTGGGTAGTACTAGCTATGGTGTTTGTTGTGCTGACACTTGTACTATTCATTGTAAAACCAGTGATGGTTAAAAGTGCTGCTGCCTTAGTAACAGGATGATAATTAAGGCAGTTGTGCCAAACTGGTCAAGTTGTCATTGCGTTCTTTTTTTTTTTTTTTTTTGAGACAGAGTCTCACTATGGCCCCCTGGGTAGAGTGCTGTGATGTCACAGCTCACAGCAAACTCAAACTCTTGGACTTAAGTGATTCTCTTGCCTAAGCCTCCCAAGTAGCTGGGACTACAGGCGCCCGCCACAGCACCTGGCTATTTTATTGTTGTAGTTGTCATTGTTTGGCAGGCCCAGGCTGGATTGGAACCCGCCAGCCCTGGTGTATGTGGTGGGCTTCCTAGCCCCTGAGCTACAGGCGCTGAGCCATCATTGCATTCTTTACTACTGTCATTCATTTGCAAGTAAAAATAAAAGCCAATTGAACTTGAACATCCTTCAGAAGCACTATAAATTATTAACCTTATTAAAGTTTGACCCTGGAGCACATATTTTAAAAAAAGTCCTGCATGACAAAATGGAAAGTATTGATGAATTCCTTCTACTGCACAAGGTACCAGTTATTTTGTGGAAAGGCACTTGTGTGATTGTTTTGATCTGTCGGGTAACCAGCAGAGTTTCACGAAATGTTTTTACTCGAAGAAATGATTAGCAGAGAGCAGGACGTCCAGCTTCCAGCAACCAAAGAATGAATTAAATATGGGTGACATTGAGAAAGACAAGAAGATTCTGTTGAGAAGTGCCCAGGGCCGTACTGTGGAAGAGGGAGGCAAGCACGAGACTGGGCCTAATCCCCATGGTCTCTGTGGGCAGAAGACAGGTCAGGCCACTGGCTCCTCTTACACAGACGCCAGTGAGAGCAAAGGCATAACCTGGGGAGGGGATACCCTGATGGAGTATTTGGAGAATCCCCAGAAGTACATTTCCCCTGGGGAAAAAAATGATCTTCACCAGCATTAAGAAGAAGGGACAAAGGGCAGACTTGCTAGCGTGTCTCCAAAAAGCTGGTAATGAGAAGTAGTTGGCCACTGCCTTATTTATTACAAAAGAGAAATATCTCACTGCTTTTTTTATGTGTACCATAATTTGATCAGTCTCATTTACCAGAATTCAGACCATGAATGAGTGACAGAATATTTTTGTTGGACAGTCCTGATTTAACTAAGACTGGCTTGTGGTTAAATGAATAGGATTGGGTTTTTTGGATCTTGATAGTGACTCCAGTTCAGTAGATGCCATCCCTGTCCTCCTGTTCTAAAGATATGATTAGATTTAATTAGTGATGTTCACCTTTTCACAAAACTGCCATCCCAAAATCTACTGAAGATTGGTTTATATTAAGATTTACATAACTGATTATGTGAATATAGTTAGACAGTGGGGAAATCCCCTCACTGTCTGAGAACCAAACAAGACTCACTGGGGTTTTAATTGGTGTTCATCAGGTGTTCAAGGTGAGGGCTGGAGAGAAGCTTAAAAACAAATGATTAGCAAACTATGGTTATTCAGACTTGAGTATTTGGCAAATTCTTTCTCTAAAACAAGGGCACCAATTAACAGTTTTGTTATCACTGATCAAATTGGAACATTCAAACAAAACTTAAAATTAGAAATTTAAAAAACTTGTATCTGTTTTGTGTCAGTCACCTTGAGCTGTATACAACTTCCCAAAACTTGAAGTATTTTTTTGAATAAATTGGAGATATTAAAGAATATAGTTTTTTAAAAAATAAAGATCCATTCAAAGCATAAGACAAATGGTTGGACTAAGTAACAACATATGAAAAGTTCACTGATACAGTTTCATATTATATTTTACAACTAATCTTTAAGAAATGGCAAATTTTTGAGTTTTGGTGTAGTATCAAGGAATATCCACAATTATGTAAAAACATAAAATAGTCTCCCTTTTTCCAACTACTAGATACAGTGTATCACAACAGATTGAATACAGAAGCAGATGAGAATCTGTCTTTTATTAAGTGAGACATTAAAGAGATTTATAAAAATGTAATCAATACCTCTCAATAATTTGTTTTGAGACAGACTTTTTATTATATCGCCCTCGGTAGAGTGCTGTGGTGTTACAGCTCACAGCAACCTCAAACTCTGGGGCGTAAGCAATTCTCTTGCCTTGGCCTCCCAAGTAGCTGCAGGCGCCCACCACAGTACCCCACTATTTTTGGTTGCAGTTGTCATTGTTTAGCAGGCCTGGTCCAGGCTTGAATCTACCACCCTCAGCTTACTGAGCTAGGGGCACCGAGTCCCCCCAAAATATATCCTTTAAGATGTAATATATTTTATCATCTAAAAATGAAATACTTGGCTTAGTGCCTGTGGCTCAAGTGGCTAAGGCATCAGCCACATACACCTGAGCTGGCTGGTTGGAATCCAGCCTGGGCCTGCCAAACAACAATGATGGCTGCAACCAAAAAATATCTGGGCGTTGTGGTGGCTACCTATAGTCCCAGCTACTTGGGAGGCAGAGGCAGGAGAATTGCTTGAAAGCTCAGGAGTTAGAGGTTGCTATGAGCTGTGATGCTACGGTATTCTACCCAGGGTGACAGCTCGAGGCTGTGTCTCAAAAACAAAAAAAAAGAGAAAAATAGAGTCTGGGCTCGGTGCCTATAGCTTAGCAGCTAGGGTGCCAGCCACATACACCAAGCTGGAGGGTTCAAATCCAGCCCGGACCTTCCAAACAGCTATGATAACTACAACCAAAAAAAAAAAAAAAAAAAAAAACTAAAAACATTTTAAATTGTCACAGTCTGGTGGGGTGTAGTGGCTCTGCAGTGCAATGGTCCTAGCACTCTGGGAGGCCAAGGTGGAAAGAGTGCTTGAGCTCAGGAGTTTGAGACCAGCCTAAGCAAGAGTAAGACTCTGTCTCTACTAAAAATAGAAAAACTAGCCAGGCATGGTGGTGGGAGCCTGTAGTCCCAGCTACTTGGGAATCTGAGGCAAGGGGATGGCTGGAGCCCAAGAGTATGAGATTGCTGTGATCTGTGACACCATGGCACTCTCCCCAGTGTGACAGAGTGAGGCTCTGTCTCAAAAAATAAAAGTTCACAGTTTTTATTTTTAATTTTATATATAGCATATAAACAAAAGCTTTTTTTTTTGTTTTTTTGCAAATGCCGTTCTAAGAATAGTGACAAGAATATTTATTATTTGCTGCACAGAGGACTTTATGTATATTATCACATTAAATCTTAGGGATATTAACCCTAGTTTCAGAGAAATTAAATTGCTCAATTTTATGCATTTTGTAAGGGAAAGAACTAGGTTTCTAGCTCCAATGCTTTTCTCTTAAAAGTTCTGGTTTTAGGGAGGCGCTGTGACTCAAAGGAGTAGGGCACTTACTCCGTATGCTGGAAGGTGGTGGGTTAAAGCCCAGCCCCAGCCAAAAACTGCAAAAAAAAATAAAGTTCTAGTTTTGATGTTCTGTTGTATATTACACCAGGATCAAATGTAGCCTTTACTAATAATTTATAATGTAAAGAGAATAAACAATGATCTCCCACCGTTTATCAGAGCAGTTATTTGAGGTTGCCGCTTGGTAGATGGGACTAATGTGCTCTCCTACCCTGCATTGCTTGGAGGAAGGTACATTGCCGTAAACTTTCTGAAAGGAAATCTGACAATGAGTATCAAAAGCCTGAATGTTTTAATATTTTTTGCTCTAGCAGTTTTACTTTTAGAAATAGTTCCTCATAAAGTGATTATGAGGAACAAATGTGTAAATGATGTGTGTTACCTGATGCACACTGTGGCCGTGATGGCAGACAAGTCATTCAGAAATTACTTCAGTGTCAAAGCGTAGGCGATTGATTAAATTAATTGCAAATTGTAATGACTGCTTAGTAGCTACTAAGATAGTTGATGTAAATTGTTCGCAATATATTGTTTGTTGTTGTTGTCGCAGTTTGGCCAGGGCCGAGTTCGAACCTACCACCCTCGGTATATGGGGCCGGCACCCTACCCACTGAGCTACAGGTGCTGCCCATGCAGTATATTGTTTAAATGGTAAAAGTAGTTTGTAAAACTTTATAAAATATGGTACACTGGTGTGTTGTAGAACAGCAGTTCTCAACCTGTAGGTCAGGACCCCTTTGTAACAATGAAAATACATCACGGCATTAGGAAGGTTGAGAACCACTATTGTAGAAGGTGTATATGTTAAAATGGTAATAGTGATTGTCTCTGAATGGTGAGACTATGGTAGATTTCTATGTGCTTTGTTTGATTGTATTTTCTGATTTTTAATTTTAAAAGTTAAAAAGCATAACAATAACTGAGCTATATAAAGGCTAGCATGATTCATCAATTTGATATTAAAATTAATTTTCTAAGTCCTGTCAGTTTTGGTGTTATAGGCTTTTCATGGTTTTTAATACTATTCTCAGTGACTCATGATTTGAAATTAACTATAATCTGTTTGTTACAGCTTGTATATGAATTTTTCATCCGATTTTTGGAAAGCCAAGAATTCCAACCTAGCATTGCCAAAAAATATATAGATCAGAAATTTGTATTACAGGTAAGCATATTCTTGTAGATGTGGTTATCTGTTAATCAGTTAACACTTTGTCTAATTTTCTTTTGGTGTCTGTTAAGAAAAAGTTTTCAGTGACAATTAACATCATCTCATAAATGTATATACATGGGTTAATATCCATTACTGTCCATTAAGTCATAGGTCTAGCTTTAATTTATGTATGGTAGAAATCAGTAACATTTTAGATAACCAGGAATGCTAGTGCCTAAATCCCGTGGTGTTCTTTCCTAAAGTTTGATTATAAAGGAATTTCATTTATATAATCGTGGTTTTTGTGAATCTTTGTGTAGCTTAAAAACTTATATTTACATGAAGAACTATTGGACGGATCTGTTAAAACTGAGGAGGTTCAGACTCAGAGCTAAATACCTTCTCTAAATAATCAAAGTCAGGGGGTGGGTGTTCTTTCACCGCTAGGAAATAGAATAGCACAGTTAGTTCATTCCTTTAGGACCTATCTGTTTGAACTTCTCAGGGAGCTTGTTTTGTGAGTCCTCATTCTGTAGTCATGCATCCATCTTCCTTCTCACTGATACCTGGGTCCCTTCGTGGCATTAGGTTTCAGGCAACAGCTTTGCTCCTCTTGTTGATACTCATGTATCGAAAAGGGGACTTGAGCCAAACTGGTGTATGGGCTGTCGTAGCTCCTTTCTAAGTGACCTATGAGGCACCTAAGGTAGAAAAGAACAAGTATCTATCTCCTAGTGAGCCAATAGTAGAATTTCAAATTTAAAACATTAAGTTTCCAAGAATTTCATCTATGCCTTACCTGGATAAAGTTGAGTAACTTTCATCACAGCTGACCTCTTTTTCCTCCCTCTGTAATTAAATCAATAAATTTAGAATTTGGAGCATGTAGATTGATCTATAGTCAATATTTAGACTGTTTTTAACATTTGAGACACAGTTTCATGGGGTTTAACCCAACAGAATGCCAGCTGCAAGCCAGCTCCAGGAGCAGAGGGCCGTGGTAATGTGGCTAAGTGGAATTAAACCTGAAGTTCAGCAGTTAGCTCAGAGCAGGAAAGGAGCTTTGGTGCCTTGCCTGCGGGGCTCATTAGTGCCACTGTACCCTGCTCCCCCAGGCAGAAGAAGCAGTTCATTGAGCTATGATCTGGTGTCCATTTACAGTAGTTTGGTACCATCCTGACAAATCATGGCTCTCTCCTCAGTGAGAGGCTCTGGAAAACTGAGGTTTGAGAGAGACTTAGGAGAAAAGGTGGGTGCATGGATCACTGGGCAAATAGGTAGATTGATACAGATCCTTCCATTCCAGGAAGATGACAGTTTGCATGATAGACCTGTATTTTATGTTGGAAAGTTGTTGTATTTACATAACATGAGATATAGTTGTCAAGGTAAATTTACATGCATTATTTAATTTGAGTTATACAAGAATCTTGTAGAACTCACATGGCTAAGCTTTTATGCTCTTTCCTAGATGAATAAACTGAGGTCTAGAAAGAAATGCAGGTTATTCAAGCACATTCCTGTTCTGGTAGTCTGTCCAGGGGGCCACGGCTACCTTGTGGGGCTTCTAGAAGTAACCCTGAGTGTTTGCCCCACTCAGCTTTTATTGAAGGCTTTTTTCTCATTTTCTCCAGAGGGTAAGCTGAGGAAGGGAATAAAACATCAGCAGTTTCTCTGAGTAACCATGTTATTTCTTATTCTATCTATAATCATTAACTTTAAAGGTCTGAGCAGCCTTGAGAAATCTGGAATCTGAGCCTTGTGTGGGGGCAGCCTCTTGTCCGTGGACACACACACAGATTCCTTGGGGGAGGTGCTGTATGTCGTGGTCTCTCCTTGTGATTCCCCTCACCGTCACTCTGAGTGACTTCAAGGACGGGGTAGCTCTCCTGTCTCCGCACTAATGAAGTAATAGAGTTCTCAGATTGATGGTGGATTAACATGCCTGAGAGGGTCAGATAGGGACTCTCTGTCAGAGCCTGTGTTGAGCTGACATGGAATCAGTCAGTCCTGGGATCTTCCTGTGAAGCCAGGGCTTCTTTGACCCAGAAAGCCCAGCGTGCTGTCCGTGGTGGATGGCACCGAAGATAACCATCAGAGAAACCCAGATGTGGAAAGGATGCTTTGGGCTTATACCCTGATTCTTTACCCAGGGAATCAGTCTTCTCTGAGACCCTTTTTTAGTGTGGAAAAGCCACACAGACAGCTTATTCTGTTTTTGTTAGAAAGTTCTTTTTTGTGTTGAACTCCCCCATACCTCGTACCCTTTGGCCTTACTCTCTCCAGAATAGTCTCTCAGTGTATGATTAGCCCAGATGTGACCTTTCAGGTCTTAAAACACTGCTTTTGTGTTCACCCTTTGGTTCTTTTTCTCTAGAACAGCCGGTGCAATTGAAAGCTCACAGGCTCATTCATAGGTGTCAGACAATAGGATGGGAGTGGCTCTGATTAAAGGGGTCTTTGTCTGTGCCTCTTAATTCAGTTATTGCCAGGCTTTTCTCCTCCTTACCCCTCCTCTAAGAGAAAAAGAAATCGAGATTTTTATATGAAATTTTCTGATCTTACTAAAATCTTGTTCAGGATGAACTAAACCTGTTTGCCTTCTTGACCTTGCCTGCTGGCTATCGGTCTGCATTCCTGCTCCAGACTAAGACCTTAGTTCTGTCAACCTTTCCGCCATTTGTTAGTTTTTGAAGCCTTCAAGATCTTCTGGATGTGTCGACTTGTCTTCAAGAATGACATCTGTCTCTGAACACGGTGCCCCGAGCCTGGTCAGCACGGTGCAGCTGGAGTTGGCGTTTTTACCCTCTTGTCTGCATTCTCAAGGCAAAGTCTCACCAGCACTTGTTGCTAGAGCCATTGCCAGCCTAGGTTAAGCTGTGGTCACAGCCGACTTCTTGCTGAGCTTTGCTCATGTTGCTGTAACACTGTGGTTTCCATTTATTTCTCCCTTAAGAGATGACGTCTTGCTGAGTTACCCAGGAAGGGCTCTGATTCCTGGGCTCAAGCGGTTCTCCTGCCTCATCCTTTCCAGTAGGTAGGATGACAGGCACGGACCATGTCATCCGGCTGCCTTGTTCTTGTTTATGCCGTTTGCTTATTTTTTAATCTAAGTGTAGGACTTGACATACATTCCTGTGGATATCATTTCTCCAGTTTGTGGAGGTCTTTCTGGATCATTATTCTGCTATCTACTTTATTTACCATGTTTTCCATTTTTATGACATCTGCAATTATTGATCTCATCTAAGTCATCAATAAAAATTGTTCAGAGTCCTGGAACATGCTTTTAGAAATTCCCTGATTGTGGTGGTACCCATAGCACAGTGGTTATGGTGCCAGCCACATACACTAAGGCTGGCGGGTTCGAATCCGGCCTGGGCCTGCTAAACAACAGTGACAACTACCACAGAAAAATAGCCAGGCATTGTGGTGGGCGCCTGTGGTCCCAGCTACTCGGGATGCTGAGGCAGGAGAATCGCTTGAGCCCAAGAGTTTGAACTTGCTGTGAGCTGTGACTCTACAGCACTTCACTCTCGACAGCTAAGACTCTGTCTCAAAAAAAAAGAAAAAAGAAATTCCCTGATTGTACACAGATTCATTAATCAGTAATGTTTGAATTCCATCCTTGAACTAGTCAGAAATCTGGTAGCATATTATCATCCTTTCTGCAGTTCTTCATTTTGTTCATAAAGAGAGCACGGTGATGTTGTTAGATGCTGTGGTAAAAGCCAGGTCTTGGTGTTTGCTGCATTTTTCTCATCTGCAGGCCTTGTAATGGCATCATGAAAGGAAAACCATTTGTCTGCCCCCTGGCAGTGGTGACTTCCTAGAGCCAGGTAGTGAGGTCCCTCTCCGTATCTCTTACTGCTCCTTCCGGGTAGTGAGGTCCCTCGCCGTGTAGTTCACTCTCGCTGCTCCTTCCGGGCAGTGAGGTCCCTCTCCGTGTAGTTCACTCTT